GCCCTGGCCCGGGTTATAAGTGGGCGTCGGTCTACCAGATGGCCAGTCTATCTATCGGTCTATTTTAAATTCAACTGTGACTTCAATAACTTCTCACAATAAGTTATGTCTGTTTAGTAATGTTGGCAATTTTTACAGAAATTTTAGATGTTAAAAACAATTTACAGTTTATAAACCCGAAAATAATGAGACATTACTGTGATCTAGTCTTATTTTCAAAATCCAGTTCATTTCTCATTTTTAAAAGGGCTTATGGGTTTAACTCACTTGAATAAGAATATTGTGATAAGTCAAATCTGTTGTCCTATCCTCCTTGTGTCAACACATGCTGTTTACTTCACTACTTCAGTATATACACAATGTGAATGAATAAGATTGAAGCACTGATCAACATACCACACTGAAAGTTCTTTGGTCCAATTCCTCAGATTCCTCACATACTGGCACATTATCTGCAGTATATGCCTTCTGAACTGACAAGTTTGAAGCTCTCTTTGTCCTTTCTCGTACCTCAGTTTTTACTTCAATCTGATGAAAAGAATTTGGAATCAAAGTTAAAGAAAAAGCTAGATTTTTTATATTTATGAAGAAAAGGAACAAAACGTAGTTGTTCACTTTGTCTTTAGACAACTTTTACCACCTTTTCACCGCTGTCATCCTCCTGTTTCTGTATTGGCTCCTTACTCTCTTTAATGTCACAGCTTTCAGCCTCCTCTTTTTTTCCCTCTTTTTCTTCACAGTCTCTCTCCTCTGATGAAGAAGCTTGATGCTCATGATCCTCATTATAATCGTCCTTTCCCTTTAATGTGTCTTCTTGAACATGTTTGGTTGGAGCCTTCCCAGTTGCCATCCTCTAAAACAGTAAACCATGTTACTATACCCATAAAAACTAAGGTTTAAGGCAGCAAATAACAAATAGGATTCAAATGTACCTTTTCCACATCAATTTCATTGTCATCATCGGATCTCTTGTCTGATGTCAGATCTGAAGATGGGCTCTTGATCACATCATCCCCCTTTATTGACTTTAGAGTTTTGACGGTTTTCCTTCTTGGTTTCTTCTTCCGTGAATTAGCCTAGACAACATACAAAAAGTTCATTTAAGTCCACATTAAGACCTTAGAATAAGTCTTAATGTGGAAGAATAAATTAACGAAAATGAGACCCACTGTTCCAGTTTGTTTCTGTGCTTCTCTTTTGGCCAGGTCTTTGCTCAGTAATTTGATGAGGTAGTCTGCTCTGGCTTGGAGCTGCTTGGCTTGTGGCTTCTTGTCAGGATCATCTGGGAGAAGCTGGATTACAGTTCATACAACACTGTTATTTTCATTAAAGACAAATTTATTTACAGATAGAGCTGAAACCATGATCTGACTAAAATTAGATTGGAAATATAACGACAAACAGTCCCCTCCTTCATGAGTTTAACCCAAAGAATACAATCTGTGAAAATGAACCTATTACCAAGACTTATCTTCTTGATCCAAGCCCTACCGGTAGAAATGACAAAAAAGCAATTTATAAAGTGGGATACAATGCTTTCCAAATTTACATGGCTAGCAAAAGAGCCAAGAATTAGATTTAAAAACAAAAGAAAAAGGGGGCATGAATTTACCACATTTGAATAATTACTTCTATTCTGCACAAATTAAACTGAGAAACCTTTGTAATAAAATCTATAATGCTTGATGGAAGGACATTGAATTAGCTCTTATTCTGGATCCTCCTCTGCAGGCAGTATTGGGGAATAGAGATTTAGAACGGCTTCTACTCAAAACTGAAAATTCTTGGTAAAATTCCAATTAAAAGTGTGGTCAAAAGTTAAACAGGAATATAAATTACATTACAGGGCTGAAACGATTCCTCGAGTGATTAGAGTACCTCGATTATTAAAATTCCTCAAGGAAAATTTATCTGCCTCGAAGCTTCGTTAAGTTATATTTTATTATTTAATACACCATGTTCTGGCCGGGTTATTACTTGCGTTGCGCTGAGTTGTTGACAAAATCTAAGTGTTAGCAGCATAACGTCCAGTTTTCAAGTTTGGCCTGGGAGGATTTTATTGATTGATGATAATGTCCGGGTCTTTGTTGTTTTTCGGGGGACCAATAAGCATCCTTAAAATGACTGGCGCGATGCCTGGCATATGGCTCCTGGAGCTGCTGCCTGGTGGCCGGTGTTCAGAGCGAGGAGGAGCGCTGCAGGTGTATTTATGCAGGTGTATTTATACAGGTGGGCGGATAGACTGTACACTGTGGGCAGCTGCGCATTAGATAATTAACGTAGGTGTAGCTTTACGGACGAACCGGAAAATTTATTTCATATCATCCCGGTCTCAACAAATGGGTGGCATAGCTCATTGTGACGGCATGTAGCTGGTAGGTCTGTGTGTGACGAACAAAGGTGTCAAATTCCGTTGCTAACATAAACACAAAAGCTATAAATGGCTGGGCATCTATAACATTGACTGAAGATGAATGCATAAACGAAAAGCTGGAGTACAGACATTTTTTATAAGCTTATTGAATTGAATATAATTTCAGATTTTTGTATAACATTTCTTCAGGTTAACTTGGAAAGTGTTAAGAAATTGTTACAGGTTAGTTTTCTAAACTACAGAAAAGTTATTGTTGGGGAAGCTCAAATGTGAAAAATTGGACTGATGTTGATATGTCATAGTACTACTGCTGTTATGTTAGATTTAACAATGTTGTACTTTATCTTTTTTTTAATCTGATTACTCGATTAATCCTAAGAATAATCGATAGATTACTTGATTACTAAAATACTCGTTTACAACAGCCCTACTACATTATAACCTGAGAATTATAAGATGGTGTGCTTATGACCCGGATTTTAAACCAAATTAAATATATAGCGGATTCTGTAATTGGTCATCTAAAGGTATAACAAGACATTTTTCATTAATGGTTAAAGGGTAAATAAGAGTTTCAAAC